CGCTAGTACATTAAACGTCTTCATAGACCGCAACCAGCCCGTTGACGCTAGTACATTAAACTTCCTCATAGACTGCAACCAGCCATTTGACGCTAGTGCATCAACGTCCTCATAGACCGCAACCAGCCCGTTGATGCTAGTGCATCAACGTCCTCATAGACCGCAACCAGCCCGTTGACGCTAGTGCATTGAACGTCCTCGTAGACCGCAACCAGCCTGTTGACGCTAGTACATTAAACTTCCTCATAGACTGCAACCAGCCATTTGACGCTAGTGCATCAACGTCCTCATAGACCGCAACCAGCCCGTTGATGCTAGTGCATCAACGTCCTCATAGACCGCAACCAGCCCGTTGACGCTAGTGCATTGAACGTCCTCGTAGACCGCAACCAGCCTGTTGACGCTAGTACATTAAACGTCCTCATAGACCGCAACCAGCCCGTTGACGCTAGTACATTAAACTTCCTCATAAACCGCAACCAGCCCGTTGACGCTAGTGCATCAACCTCCTCGTAGACCGCAACCAGCACGTTGACGCTAGTGCATTGAACGTCCTCGTAGACCGCAACCAGCCTGTTGACGCTAGTACATTAAACGTCCTCATAGACCGCAACCAGCCCGTTGACGCTAGTACATTAAACTTCCTCATAAACCGCAACCAGCCCGTTGACGCTAGTGCATCAACGTTCTCGTAGACCGCAACCAGCCCGTTGACGCTAGTACATTAAACGTCCTCATAGACCGCAACCAGCCCGTTGACGCTAGTGCATCAACATCCTCGTAGACCGCAACCAGCCCGTTGACGCTAGTGCATCAACGTCCTCATAGACTGCAACCAGCCCGCTGACGCTAGTGCATCAACGTCCTCATAGACCGCAACCAGCCCGCTGACGCTAGTGCATCAAAGTCCTCATAGACCGCAACCAGCCGGTTTACATTGAATTTTCCATATTGTATGACATAAGAACATGAATGTTTCTTTACACGTGTTTTACTGGCAGGAAGAAAACGGGCATTATGTCACCGACAGCAATAAATGGAAACTCTTAGTTTAAAAGCACGGGAATTATTTTTGGTAAAGACAGTGTACTCGTTGCCGTTAGGTTCGGTAAGAAGATATATCCACTGCCTTACCTTGCCAGCAAGATCAGAACACGGTATGTTGCATCGTTCGATCTGACTATGTCGCTTGTTTTCGGATATGTTTAAAATGTTTTATAAAATGTCAACAATATAATCTTTAACAACAGATTAGGTGATAAAAGATATAGTCGTCTTAAATCGCTAATCCTTTTACAACAGATTAGGTCATCTGAAACCTGCCGTTCTCTTACATGGCTAATCACTTTAGAAAAGATTGTCACCCAAAACCTCTCTTTCTCTTATATCGCTAATCCTTTTACGACAGGTGTCGTCGTCCGAAACCTGTATTTCTTTTAAATCGCAAATCCTTCTACGACAGATTAAGTCATCTCAAAAGTACGATTCTCTTAAATCGCTAATCCTTTTACAACGGGATTGGTCATCCTAAACCTGTAGTTTTCTTAAATCGCAAATCCTTAAACGACAGATTAAGTAATCTCAAAAATACGGTTCTCTTAAGTCGCTAATGCTTCTATGATGAACACACCCATTGATACAATGCTGGGTTTGCTCATTAACTTACGAAATTAAAGAAGGGTGGGTGGATGAAGAGTGAACTAAATTGTGTAATGCTTGATTCAGGAACATATTTTATTATCTAACATATCACAGGGTTTATCGTGACCATACTATAATGTATCGGGTAGAAACGCAGATAAAGGAAACACCCTTTGTCTACTGACACTTATAGAAGAGTACGATCAAGTTCACATCAAACAATAAGAGGACATGAAACAAGTCTTATTAGCAAATATCTTGTACAACTTCTCCGTCAATTTGTTATCTGTCTGGGTCTGTTTTCGCTTCTGTCTCCAAAGTTTCCATGTCCATCTGTGTTCCTCTACCTTCGCTCTTGCTGCATCTATCGTCCATTGGCTATCCGAGAGTTAACCTTTCCTATAAAACATTTACACTTTAAATGTGTCTCCTTGCTGGGGGTAAACAACGCGTACATGCTATAAATAACTTTCCTCAGACTGTTCAGTTCTTCCCCCCTTTTGTAAACTTCCTCCTTTTTCAATAGTTATGAACATGCTTGCTTTCCTATGCTATTATACTGCCATACATTGTATATAATACAAAAACCATCACACTAATTGCACAATATCATCTACTATTCTCGTTCAACCAGACTATCGCGTGGTTTCGTGAATAAGAAAGAGACTAGTCGTCTACTTCATGCAATAAGTATTTCTCGTTAGAATTTAACAGTGTCTTTGGGTACATGTTTTATCTGAACTTTCGTGTCAACGAATAGTGAAATGGTACTGGGAGTAAAAAAAAACAATGCTTATGTATTGTTTGCCTTCAGTTTGGCTTTGCAAATGACATATCTCTTCGTTGATTCCTCTAATTACAGATTCTCATCTCAAGTGTGCATACCTATCTTGGGTGGTGGTTGTGAATAATGCATATATATGCATACTGTGTTCTTAATATAGGACTCTGAGATCTAATTAGTACGAGAAGTCAATGCGTTGCAGATTATCAGAATTACCGGTTTCCATGACAAACAAGTCATAAAAAGTTGAATGCTTTCCTTCCTAACATAAGTAAGGAAGTTGGTCAAAGATTCCCAAATTTCTGACATTGTACATGACATCAAATTACATGAAGAATCAGTTCCACGCGAAATCGTTGGATATTTACAAAATTGGCTCCTTTGTTAATTTGACATTCTGATTCAATGTGAAATTCCAAATAAACAAGTTAAACACGTGTTTAACAAACGAGATGAGAAGGTAAAATGTATGAAGCTGAAACATGGAGAAATTGGAGTCTTATGACGATCTTATCCGCTTTTACCTACATAAAAGGAGAACTTAAAATATATCTCATTTAATTTCAGTATCTTTTTTGCGAATGGAATGATACCACCTTGAGCATTCGTCTTCACTGGCATATCAGGTAGGTGAAATTTAACCAATTAGCTATTGGTTGCGGAAACTCTTTCTTGTAAAAAAAATCGTATTTTTTGTTTCTGATTTATGTATGCATATTCACGAGAGAAGCGATTAAATTAATTACAGCGATGCTTCTCTTTATGTACACCTGTGAGACATAAATAGAGATTTCCAACAGATTTATGTTGAGCTAGCAAATTAATATGACATCATAACGTGAAAATGCACAGAGGTTTAAATTTAAATTTTATCTTTACGATTATTTATCGATTTGACTTTGCAACACTTCTAACGAAAATGAATTTTTTAATAATGTCAGCCAAGTCACATGCTGTCAGCCAAGTCACGTCATATTAGCAAACTCACATGATGTCTATCTATATCTGATCAGAGTAATACCATCAAACTATGAAACGCCGCCATAATTGGCTGTTTTTTATTTTGGTTTTTTGTTTGTTTGTTTGTTTGTTTTTTTGTCGCTGTTCACGCGATTTCTCATTTTGTTTGGTGGACGACGTTTAAGTTTGGTTTTAAACTTTAAACAATTAACACTGTCAGAAATAACACCATACCAATTTCTCTTTATATCACACCTGGTAGATTTCCCTACACATATGCAATAATACACACTCAGATTTAACCACATACGTATTGCCTGCATCTCCGCTTGTAACGAAAGGCAGACTTTATGAATTCGAAAATCTTTGGAACCATATACATTTTAACTAATGGTCTTTGAACAAGGAAGTTCATAGAACTCTACTGTAAGCAATTAATTGATTTTCCACAAGTATTCGTAAAGAAAAGTTTACAAACCAGCATATTGATTGTTAAATACTGGCTACAAGTCTGCTGTCGCTAAGGCTAGAACGGCTGTTTAATGGCAATGTTTCTTATACAGAGAGTATACTGAAATATATGTTTATATTGTCAGAAATTATTAGATTGCTACTCCTCGAAACTATTGAGATAATGCACAACTTGGTTGTGGCAGCACCGTTTCCCCATCTGCATCCAAGCAACGGTAAATCTTCGCGTATATTGGACTCATAGTCAACATATAGAAACATCATCAAATAAAAAATTTAATAAGTACATAAACTCCATCCTTAATGCAAGCTTCCGTTTAGAGCAGACAATATGACCAGCAGGATTTTGTAATCTATATGTGTTTGTAAAACGTATTTTCCATTCCATACCCGAAGAATCAGGTGCTAATTGTAGTCCTGCGTGTTCCTAGGTTAAGTTTATAAAATGACAGAAGTTGCATCAAGAGAAAAGTATCTCTTTTTCGGTTACAAACAGGATAATTATTCTTTTTGCTACAATTTTGTTATCAAAACTTAGATTTTCATCATTTTCATTATTTCATGGCCATCCGACCTCGTTAATACTCCATTTTATGTTCACACATTTCAAGACTGGTTGACATTTTTCTGTATAATTAGTAGCGTGCGTCTTTTAAAAATCTTGGCTTCAGACCCTTGGTTCGCTCACTGGAGTAAGTATTTAATTCAACAAAATGAATCTTGAATTTAAAACTAGCTCTTATGAAGTTATTTTCTCTTCGCTCAAATGATACAGGACAGGAAATGTTCGTTTGACAGAAACAAAGATTTTGTTTGTGTCATAGCCATTATACATGTTGGATAGTTAAAACAATAGCCATTATACACATAGGATCGTTAAACTGTTTGTTCTATGATACTGAACAAGATTTGGATTTAGATTTCTAACGTAGCTTTAACAGCTTTTCAGTCATATCGCTACGATGTCTGCAGTGTAGCGGTTTATAATGATGCCTCGTACTGGGGTATCATGTCGTAGCCATGAAGCATAGCGTTCCTTCCAGTCACATTATCCTGACACCAAGCCGAACAATCCTGACACTAACCTACTAATACTGAGTACCAAGCGAGGCATCTATTAGTACATTTTTTATTAAGTCTGATATGACTCGGCCGGGGTTCCAACCTGCGACCTCCCGCATCCGAGGCGAACGCTTTAACCAATTGGGCCACCGAACGATCTACTGAAAAAGAAAAGGAAACGAGAGTTACAACGGAGCCACATATTCAGTGTGTGTTTAGACTCGTACGAACAATAAGTATCAAACAACTATCCAAAATATATCTAATATCTAATGATTCAGCGAAGTCAAAGTTTTTTTATGTGCATGCAAATACAGGCACTGAATTAAAAGAAAACTAAGTCGACCACATATGTATGTTTGTATGTATGTATGTATGTATGTATGTATGTATGTATGTATGTATGTATGTATGTATGTATGTATGTATGTATGTATGTATGTATGTATGTATGTATGTATGTATGTATGTATGTGTGTATGTGTGTATGTATGTATGTATGTAAGTATGTATGTATGTATGTATGTATGTATGTATGTATGTATGTATGTATGTATGTATGTATGTATGTATGTATGTATGTATGTATGTATGTATGTATGTATGTATGTATGTATGTATGTGTGTCACAGTGATTGTAGTGCAATGTATCCACGTGAGATTGGTCACAGTGAATAACGTGTAGTGCATCCACGTGAGATTGGTTATGAATGTAGTGCAATGTATCCACGTCAAATTGGTCACAATGAAGTAGTGCAGTGTATACACGGGAGAGTAAAGGTAGTGCAATGTATCAACATGAAACTGGACATAGTCAATATGGTGTAATATATCAGTATGAGAATGTTTTTCTACAGTACAAAAATAGTTTGCCTATATCAAGGATCCGATTGTGATGTTTTCAGGACACTTTTTAGCAGATCATTAAAATGTGTCTAATTGTTTGTTGCGTGGGAAAGGGGCAAAAGGTAAAAAATGACTTTTAAATCAAACCTTAATGAAGCATGTCCTGTACCTGTAGAAACGTTAAGGAAGGAAGCGTAAGCACTTATAATAATAATAATAATAATAATAATAATAATAATAATAATAATAATAATAATAATAATAATAATAATAATAATAATAATAATAATAATAATAATAAAAATAATAATTTGGTCAATTACCTATTGGAATAAACACTTTTAGTCTCCGACAAAAATGTAAATTTGTTATAAAGTGATATTTAGATAAACATGTGTCCTATAAATTTATATTATTCTGCATGTTTTGTTGTTTGGGGATTGAATATATATTTTCCAGCAAAGGATTGGCTATACATGGTGGCCTGTTTATTTGATGGAGGAAGAACCCAGGAAAAATCACCAATACAATGGAAGCTACTGCCAAGCTTTCTTTCATACTCACTTTTGCCTAGGCGAGACTCGAACCTTGGATGTCACTGATTTGTAAAAGCGAGTGTCTTAGACATTGTATGTGCATCTCATTGTATTTCATACCTATACATAGCTCATCTCTCTCTCTCTCTCTCTCTCTCTCTCTCTCTCTCTCTCTCTCTCTCTCTCTCTCTCTCTCTCTCTCTCTCTCTCTCTCTCTCTATATATATATATATATATATATATATATATATATATATATATATATATATATATATAGAGAGAGAGAGAGAGAGAGAGAGAGAGAGAGAGAGAGAGAGAGAGAGAAATAGATTGTATTTAGTTTAAAGAGGCAAGGTGCTTAATGAAATAAGTTGTTTGATAGCCTCCACTGACCGTGGCACAGTAGGAGAGAAGTCATTTTGCATTATTCTCCTAAGCTGTAAGAGAAACACATGTTGAAATTATAATAAGAGAGAGTATCTCAGATCAACTAATGATGTGGTTATTAAAGATTCTGTATGCTCTGGCGTAAACACGACTAGTCGATATATTGACCTGTACAAATATGCATTTTCTTTTGTATATGATTCCTGATACCTACTATGACCTGTACAAATATGCATTTTCTTTTGTATATAATTAATTATACCTACTAACATTCTGCAACAGGTGGTTCATGGAGGGAACAGATAAAGTAACACTTTTTAAGTAAATACGTTGAGGAAAGCAATAGGATAGGAAAGTGTTTTCAACATGCATCTAACGAACTGTATATTTTGACATGCAGACTATGTATATTTTGACTGTAATATTAAATATCATTAAAATCGATTAGTGGGAATGGAAGATAACTTTACTTTAATTTTCGCGGCTGTTTACTTTATCCACTGCTGAGAGAGCTTCTATTATAGTAAATCTAAGAAAGGGTCAAATCTGTTGTTACTCATAATTGTAATATTAACACATTTCTAATAAGATATGTTTGTTTGTCCTTCTGTCTTTGCCTGTTACACAAAACTCCTAAACCATTAACAAAATCGAACACTAGGTTATCGCTGAAAGCTCCTTATGCTTAATTTAGATATTCACCCACAGCGTTGCTTTTTTTTTTTTTCGAGTTATTATGCGGCATTCTCCATCCTTTTTTGATAACGATGAGATGTAAATTATCGCATATAGCAACAACCTCAAAAAAAATTGGCATCCGTTAATTTTTTTCCAGATATATGCCAATTTGCTGATATAATCCACAGGTGTAAAGTCTATAATGGCATTTGAAACTTTCGCGAAGACGATTATGATTAAAACAAGCGAAATAAATGAAACTTTTGTCTCTGCAAACAATATTGAGAAAAAAACCAAGAAACTAATATTTTTAGATAATTTCGTTGGTAAAGCAGGCATGTATGCACCACTATTGAGAGAGAGAGAGAGATGGTTAGATGGATGGTTGGACGGACGGACGGATAGACAGACAGATAGATGACAGACAGATGGATAGATGGATAGATAGACAGATGGATAGATGTGTGTGTGTGTATATATATATATATATATATATATATATATATATATATATATATATATATATATATATATATATATATATATATATATATAAGCTACCATCATTGCACAGACCACATGAAGATAGGGTTAGCATTACATTAATTAATTTATCGTCATGATGAAGATTAAATTATTATTGGGTTCGCATTATATTTCTTACGTCATCATCATTGTGCAAAAGTCCAAATGAAGATATGGTTAACATTATACTCTTTACGTCATCATTTTTCTAAAGATCAAATGAAGTTAGGGTTGACATTACACTTGTTATGTCATCAATGTGCCAAAGACCAAATGAAGATAACTTTGACATTACACTCTTTACGTTTTCATCATACGAATGATCAAATGAAGATGGGATTAACATTACCCTCTTTAGGTCATCATCGTGCCAAATACCAAATGAAGACAGGATTGACCTTAGTCTTTACGTCGTCATTTTGACAAAGACCAAATGATGATGGGGTTGACATTACAGTCTTTACGTCATTATCGTGCCAAAAACCAAATGAAGATGGAATTGACGCTACACTCTTTATGTCATCATCGTGCCAAAGACCAAATGAAGATGGGATTGACGCTACACTCTTTACGTCATTATCGTGCTAAAGACCAATTGAAGATGGGGTTGACATTACAGTAAGTTACGTCATTATCGTGCTAAAGACCAAATGAAGATGGGATTGACGCTACACTCTTTACGTCATTATCGTGCTAAAGACCAAATGAAGATGGGGTTGACATTACAGTAAGTTACGTCATTATCGTGCTAAAGACCAAATGATGATGGGGTTGACATTACAGTAAGTTACGTCATTATCGTGCCAAAGACCAAATGAAGATGGGATTGACGCTACACTCTTTACTTCATTATCGTGCTAAAGACCAATTGATGATGGGGTTGACATTACAGTAAGTTACGTCATTATCGTGCCAAAAACCAAATGAAGATGGAATTGACGCTACACTCTTTATGTCATCATCGTGCCAAAGACCAAATGAAGATGGGATTGACGCTACACTCTTTACGTCATTATCGTGCTAAAGACCAATTGATGATGGGGTTGACATTACAGTAAGTTACGTCATTATCGTGCCAAAGACCAAATGAAGATGGGATTGACGCTACACTCTTTACGTCATTATCGTGCCAAAGACCAAATGAAGATGGGATTGACGCTACACTCTTTACGTCATTATCGTGCTAAAGACCAAATGAAGATGGGATTGACGCTACACTCTTTACGTCATTATCGTGCCAAAGACCAAATGAAGATGGGATTGACGCTACACTCTTTACGTCATTATCGTGCCAAAGACCAAATGAAGATGGGATTGACGCTACACTCTTTACGTCATTATCGTGCCAAAGACCAAATGAAGATGGGATTCGCTTTTAGAGCAGCAAATGCGTGTTAAGTGTGGACGATATCAAAACTAAAAAGATTAATAATGTAATGATTTTGCAAAGACGAAAATGATGTTGACAAACACCATCAAAACGACAATAACGACAATGATGTTATTCTTAATGATAATGATGATGATGATGATGACGACGACGACAGTTAATGCATTAGATTACATCTTTAGTGACCAAGCCATGCTGAAACAGGCCTTCATATTCTGAACGTTTTCTATCTATCCTTGTTTTGATTCTAGGTGCATATTAATTATGATATTCCAAATATCGCTTAATATGCACATTTGTCATTGTATCTGCCTGATTTTTCAAGATTGTATTCAATAACCCGGCAAAAAGTCTTAAAATTTGTATTTTCGTTTCATTCTATCATACGCTAAAGAAGAATTCCTAGAATGATCTTGGGTTGATCAATATAAGCTTGCATGAAGACAGGAAATAATTAAACGAACTGCAAATTAATGTACAACTTATATCGAAATACATTTAAGTTTCTTTGTTCAAATTGCTACATATTTTTCAATGCCTACATTATTTTTGTGCTCTGTCTCAAAGCAATAATCATTTTGAAATTCTTTAGTATGTTGCTTCATTTATTATTATTCATTTTTTAAATTAGTTTTATACAAGTACTCTTGGGAGTAAACATCATACATTAAAACTACGTAATGAAATGTTTAACATTTGTGCATAGTATTCTTCCAAAAATATTCATGTTATATGGCAAATAACAATCTTTTGAATGCACAGGATAGTTGAGAGATCGTCTTGGTCAAGGAAAGATT